CTTCAACAGGTGTTTCTGTTCTTCTTGGGTCTTTCCTCGGAGAGAAGGATACGACGTCAAGCCACTACAGCGGCAGCAGACGATGGAGCAGCATTCCTCTTCCTCATCGTGTTGCTGCTGCTCCTGCTGCTCTTCTTGACCAGGGCAGGTTCGATGCTGCTCCTGAGCTCTGAAGAACTGCTGCTGCTGCTCCTCGATGAATGCTTGCAGGGTTGCTAGAGAGTAAGAGGGTTTCGTACCTTCTCCCTGCAGCTCCCCTGGCAGACAGTCGGTGGCCTGCTGCTGCTGCTCCTGTTGTTTTTGGGTGTTGAGCTGTCGTGTGTACTCATTGCCTCTGCTATTTACCAGCCAGACTTCGCCTCCTCTCTGGGCAACGATGAAAGGAAGGGAGAGGAAACCGCCGCTAATCCAATTTAAAGATGACTCCAACAACCCGTGCACAAACACAAACACCTGCCCGCTGCAGTTCCCATTCAGGCTGGTGCTGCTGCTGCTTCCAGCCATTGATGGTGGCGTTGATGCTTCTGGAAGTGCAGCAACAGGGCCATATGAACCCGGGGCCACAGTATCGTTGGCAGGGGCAGCTGCAGCTATTGCTATTGTGGGTACTTCCTCTGCTGCTGCTGGTGCAGCTGCTGCTTCGGTCCCTCCCAGAACGTCACACCCACAGCCGTCTGCGCAGCAGCAGCGAGTGACTCTGCGCAGGCGGTAGAAGTGGACCTCGTAGCCGTCAGCAGTACGTACACTGTGCCTTTCCGCTCTGAACTGGCCGCTGCTTAAAGTGTGCGTATATCGTTCCATCAGGTCTGGGCAAAAGCGGCGCAGCAGCTGCTGCCGCTGTAGCCGTAGCAGCAGCAACAGCGTGTTATGCAAGCTCTCGCGCATTATCATGCTGAACCTGTCTGCTAGCCACCCCCCGCCAAACCAGCTCACCAGGCTCCCCACAACTCCCCCCAGATCAGGCGGCATACATAAGACTGTCGAGGCAGCAGCAGCAGAAGCCGCTGCAGCAGCAGATGCTTCTTCGTCACTTGCCTCCTCCAATGGCCCAGCGCTAGTCTGGCCTCTCTGTTCAACGGGCTGATGCTGCAGGCGGCCATCACAGAAAGGTGGGAGATAGTGCAACGCTGAAGCAGACGTGGAACAGCTAGGGAGGGCCGCATCAGCAGCGGCAGACGTGGCGGGATCAGCAGCAGCAGCATCCCTTGAAGGCGTATCGGCT